AGAAGCCGGCGTCACGGCGCTTCTTCACCGCCGAGATGAGTTATGGCGAGTCTGCATTGAGCGACAACTGTTGAGCGTTCTGATTAGGCAGATTAATTCCCAAACAGGGTGGCCATTTCACAGGTCCGTGTGTTCCAATCCATTTATTTGGAAACGTGTTATTCAAGAAATTTAACATTGCTTTGCAATTATGAGGTGGAGCACCGTCTTTTTTATAATAAAAATCTTCAACATTAATGCAACATAATGGCAATTCTTCCCAGTAATTACAAAAATGTTCATCCAAAAATGTTAAATATCTGGCACCATTTACTGTTCCGTCATAAAAATAGGGTCCCAAGATTGTGTTATCAATTATACCACATTAGACATTAGTACGAAATTGTATTTAGAAATTTGTTACCCTTTTTGACTGTGGATTTTCAGTATTCCATAGATTGGTATTATAGTGATTAGGAGTCATATTATTATTAAAACTCGACTCATCAGTCCAAAGAATTTTTTTATAGAAATTGCAGTCGTTTCTATTATTCGTTAGTAGCCAATTACTAAATTCTGCACGCCGCATTAAATCATTTTCTCTCAATCCCTGTATTATGTTGTATTTGAAAGATTTCATTTGGTATCACTCTATTCGGAAAATCTTCTTGGTACTTTAACTTGCTTAGTCTTTTATTTTTATCGCACTCGTAATAAATATGTACCATATCTGATTTCTCTTCTTTCTAATAACGATACATCGCACTAAGTATCTGCAAACTCTCTGTGAAATAATACTGAAATAATCCTGTAAATCTTATAATAGAAGTAAGCATTAGCACCGACCTTACACAAGTTATAAACATTAAACAGAAAATGTAAATATACCAATAAGACATCTTGGTATGTACAGTAATACGAGTCAGTACAGTTATTTTAATTTTTGACCTTGAATGAGTCTCAAGGTCATGATATGGTACATCGTTGAATTTGTTTTTATACGAGCTTTCACGTGATATAAAAAAACATACACAACCCCACTTTAAAAACTGAAGGTCACCTTCATCTCTCAAATAATAATACAAATATAAAAAAATTATATGCGTCATTACATTGCTTATAAAAAACAGTATCAATTTCTTTAATTTCATTGTTTTCAAATATCTAATATGTACGAAATAAATGCTGGCAAGTAAATCTATAAACACCCTGTATATGGTATCAATATTATAATAAATAAATACTACAATTATCTTACTTTTTATACTGTGCATTCGTCTCATTCTCTTTATTTTTTGAAAGTTTCACTTAACCAGTGAAGTCAGATCGTAGAACATTTCTACCCCTCTTCTTGAGCCCAGTACACCTCGCACACAACGAAATTTTACGTGTCGGTGTGTCGGGAAAGCGAAAGAAGTCGAGGAAAGCCAAGGGAAGCCAAGGTTAGCTGCGCGACAGCGGAGAAATAATACCCCCACCACGCGCCGCGGAGAAATCATCATGGGTATAATACACATTGATTTACACATTGTTTTACACATTGTTTAAATGTTCTAGGCTCGAGAGAAGGGGTAGAAATATTCTACGATCTGGCTTCATTGCTTCTAACACGTGTGATCTGCATACATGATATTTTTTCATTTCAAGATAGTTTTATATGTACTATAAAATAAAGTATTTTATATTTAAAATGTAAGCGATAAGTCGTATTAGGTTACAATTTCCTTTTCTTTGTAAGCGATTTTCGGTCCTTTGTGTTCTCTTTCTTATAACAATTGGAAAACCGTTGACGGTATCTAAGGAGATAACTATTGATGGTTGCTAGGGAGAAAACCATTGGCGATAACAATTGAAAGCGGTGGGAGTCCGAGTTTTTCCGATTTTTGCTCCCACCACCTCCTCCAGTGGGTACTGATGGCCAATAAGAATAATATGTTCCCTTTCTCTGTCCAAAAGGCCGTAGGTTACTTTTAGCATAAATATGCGTAGATAATTATCGTACACGTAACATAATTTGAAGCATTGTACGATCGTACATCCAACTTTGATTATGTGACAAAAATGTACAATAATTTGAGTTTTTGTAT